TCATGAACGTATTGTATTTCCCTCCCACCCCATGTTCGTTCACCCATGAATTTTATTACAAAGCATGAAAGAGGACATTTTGGTCTGGACACCAAAAAGCAACTGTTAAGCTATAGTAGTGAGCAAACAGCAATGAATCAACTGTATAAACAAGCACATCAACAACCATTTTAGAAAAGGTTTTATTCATAAAGCTCCTTTGTTCTCTGCAGTGTCAAACTAAATTCAGCTTCAGGCTGAAACAAACAAATGAAGAAAAAAAGGCTGCTACGATGCACAAACATTAGCTGCATGCTACAGTGTGTTTTTGTGCCAAATGTGGCACTTGTAATTTCTAGGGTGGGAGAAGCAGAGCAAGCTCTGAACGCTGCTATGAAACTGCTATAAAACCTTGTTTATGGTTTTCTTTCAAAAACACGAAAGGGCTCAGCTAAGGACATCTAGTGATGTTGCAGGAGAAAGAACAGCCTTGAAAGACAGGTCATTGGGACAAAGTGCACTCTGGTTGGGAGTCAAAAGTGCCTGAGGCCTCATCCCTCTCCCTCTCACATATGCCCGTCCTTTCATTACTTGTATTTGTGAGTGATAAGCTCCTGACTAACCCCAACTGAAGCTTTCTGGCATTGAAAAGGCTCACCCAGTTCATGTTCTTACGTGCTATGCTCATTTAGACAAAAGTCACTGCAGTTCACAACATCTGCAACTCAGGGACTGCCTTGAAAATGCGCAGATGACAGCTATCTGTTGTATGCTAATGGCTGTGGTTACGAGTTGTCTCTGTTCCATGTTCAAAGGATGAAAGCTAGGGAATGGTTACACTCGATAATTGTGAAATGTGAAACAAAAAAGGAACACTTGTCAAAACAAGTATGCCAAACCTTTCATAAGGCATTGCTGCCAGGGAACAGATATGAAGTCTTCTTTCTTGTTTTCTGCTGAAATAACCTGAGGATGATGAGGCCTTTTCTGTCCACATTAGCATTTCTGAGCCAGACATGGCCTGGTCAATACCTACCTGACACAGTCAAATGCATAAACATGACTGTCAAACTACCAAACTGACAGTTTATTCTGTGTTAGTTCCACCTTCATTCTCAGCAAAGATTGCAAATTCCACCAGGAACGTGGCAACTATGCCAATTCAGTGGTGTCAAGACTGCTGAGTCATCTGGGAATGCTTTTTTTTGCCGAAGCTTCAATGAGCTCTCGTCACCTTTCCCCCTCCGAAAACATCCTGGCTCTCCTTTGCACATCCCAGTCGGACATGCAAATCTGGATTTTTCACCTCTGTCTGGAACTCCTGTCAACTGTGAAAGAGGCTCTGGCTTCCTTGAGTGCGAAGACATAGCAACAGAAAGTCCATTTAGGTACAGTTACAGTGGGGGAGTCATCCTGTTATGAGCTCTGTGTCATATACTGCACAAATTGAGAGAACCAGAACGACACAGACAAGTACAAAATGCAGCCCAAACATGGGTTCCGTACCTCTTTTAGGTACACAAATGATTGATGAGCTGAATTTCAAAGCGTTTAAAGCTACAGCCATTACGTTTTTGTCCTACATTCCCTTTAGCATGCTTTGGGCATGAAAGGCTTTTATGCTTCTCACTGAAAATTGGATAAGCACTGTTGTGCCATCTTTCATTTGTTCAAACAAATATATTTGGTTACCATTCTTCAGGCTGGAGATTGCCACAGCCAATTGCTTGAGCCTGAGGAGGGTTAACATCCACACATGATAGGTCTACAACAATGGCAGAGCTGGGAAACAAAAGACTAATTAATCTATCTGTAGTAGCAAACCCAAAAAACAAAACAAGAACAAAATTCTGGCAAAAGCCAAAGGGGAACAACAGTGACACTTCATCTCCACAGAGATTGCTGAGGGAACTAAGCGGATTTTAAAAGGATGCTAAATTGGTTCCATTTTTACTGGAGTAAATCACCAGCCACCAGCCTTCCATAAAATGTAGCATTAATCAAATATAGTGTTATGACTTCAACTCAAGCACAAAGGTTTCTATGAGCTATGTTTTAGGTTAGCAGCTTAAAAGTAGGACCATAACAACACATATTAGTGAACTGATTCAAACTACAAACTATGGTACAAATCTTTACAAACTGTAGCCAAAAATCATGTTTGAAGTGATGGCAGCATTCATCTTAAGGTTGGCAGAGTTTACTGTGAAATCATCTTAAGGTTGGTGGAGTTTACTGTGAAATCAAAATGTAAAATTTACTTAGTAGTGGATCAATCATAATGATGGCATATTACTGTAATATATTACACAGCATCATAAAATCATTAAAAATATTGCTATACATCAAATCATTGCCTAAAAATATTGAAATTATATGATCCAATACAAGGCATCAGTATTGAGTCGATATCAGCAGAAAATGCTGGATCGAATTAAGAGAAAAAGAAAGAATGAATCTGATCCAATCCTGTAACAAATTTGTCGTGAAATAGCACACCATCACACTGTGCGATGTGATGTTGTTAGCTGTGTATTTCTTCTTGTGGGGTAATAGTGTTTGAGTAAAAACAATAGCCTACTATTAAAAAACAAATTTTAAAGCTATATGTTTTTCTTATTTTAAAGAAAAAACGGATCTGAAGCAATATTGGTCGATATTCAAGGTTTCAAAATCAGTATTAGAAAAGAAAAAGTGTTATCATGCCATCTCTAATCATATCACATTATGGCAAAATGTATCTTTAATATCCCAGTTTGGAAATGTGAAAGGTTTGACTTAAAGGGCCAGATACTATACAACAGATCTTGATTTCAGAGTTTGAATCCACCAAATAGGGAAGAATAAACATTTTTCAGACACATAGTTTTTTTCAAAAAGGTACTGATAATGGATCTGAGCTGCAGACGACAGCTCATAAAGTCTCCTCGGTGTTACCATCCTTGAGCATTTCCAAAACAGACTGCTGAAGCCGTTCAGGCAATGGGTCTGTGCTAGCTGTGTGTTCCTCACTCTCACTATACTGATGCTGTCTCCTAACACGCTTGTGGAGGTGCTAAAACCCAGGGAGGGTTTATGTGTAACACTTTAACACAGGCCTGAGTGGAGCTGGCTGGCTGGCCTCCCCTGAGGGAGCAGCCCTTTCATAGCCTACAGACCTCCAACTTTCAGCACTTAACCCGGCTCATTCCTCACCTGCCACTGCTTCCATTTCCTCAGCCGTGACTGGAGATCTGAGACATTACTGTTGCTTCAAATCTTTAACGTTCTCAATATGTTCTGCTCCATTTCCCAAGCGTTTTTTCCCCCTGCATGCTTCTTTCATATAGGCTCCATGTTAAGAACAGTCCCCAGGAAGAACATGACACAATGTTCTCTTATTTCTTTGCTAAATGAATTCTTCCAGAGGGTGTTTTTTTTTCATATTCAAGGTCCTTTGCAATGCCTTTGAGGCTAAAAGATCATCCTTTGAATAAGCACGGTCATAGTATTAATGGCAAAACTCTGAGAGGAATGAAGTAAATTCACAGATGCTTAGTGGATTACTGTGGATTAAACTAGGGGTGGGTAATATCACGATCATGACATGTATCGTTACATAAATTACATCACATTATGTCACAATATGCTGTTGTGATCTTAATAATGACCAACTGCATGTTTCAATACAAGGACAGCATAATTAAGCCTGTTTAACTGGATACAGTGAAATGTTGAATATGAATTATTGTACGGATAGTTGATATTTTCAATGTGCCACACTGTACCACAGGTTATTTTTGTCAGTTTTGACACCTCAAACCTCAGATAAACTTAATATCATGATGCATATTATGTATTGAGAGAATCATGATATTATATTTTCGGCATATCTCCCATCCCTGACGGTGACAGACAAAAGCAACAGATAACTGGAACCATGTTCAGCGTAAGCGTGGTCTGAGTCAGCCTCTCTCTCTCTCTCTCTCTCTCTCTCTCTCTCTCGCTCTGTCTCTCTCTCTATCCATCTAATATGAACCCCCACCCCAACCCCCCCAGCACGTACGCACACAGATAGACTCTCTCGTCTATCCTTTAACGACGAATAAAAATATTCTGTTGCCAACTCAAGTTACTCAACATTCGCAGTTCACAGCATTAACAGCAAAAGTAAGAAAAATACAACCTACTGTATTTTTCTTTAAAATATCTAAAGACACCGAAACTGACAGCATCGTCAGAACGCAGAAACGCAGACTACAGTGCATTTCACTGGCACCACGTAGAGTAGCTTGAGGCTTAATCTATACGACAACATTGACATTAGCACGTCTGAACGAAAAACCGACAACACACAGCAATAAAGTTACTGTTTCGCAGACAACTGGAAGATTTGACAGGCAATGTTCTCCTTTTTGACAGGGATATAAATGAACATAAGTTTCTCAAGGTTATCGTTGTAATAATGTGTCAGAGCATGGATTTCTTCCTCACACATTCTCTGAAACGACTCTGCCTTCTTAGCCTTCTTATGCCACAACTCAGAAAAGACGTTTTCCGTTTACTTTTAACTTGGTAGACGACAGTCCGAGTGATTTCTGTCGCACTGCCCTTTTAGCAGAATCTGTTGTGTTAAAAACCAGTGGATAAAGTGACTCTTTTGTAAATGACCAGCGACTAAAAAGGCATAAAAATTAGAAACAGTCTCCTAATCTGTTCCACAACCACCTCTGTACTCTAATACTTGGCTAAAAACGGACATCCTCGTCCGCGTTAGCACGGCATCGCCTGAGCGGTGATCACCTCTCCACATCAGCACCGTCCACTTCTCAGCGGAGAGAAGCGGAGACCTGTTAAACCTTCCAACACAGATACGTGCCCCTCTCACTCTCACACAGTTACCCGTGAATGAAACACTGCGGTATTTCCCGTCAGCGTCCCTTTCCTGACGTTTCTAGGTATTTCCAGAAAACATATCATAACATACTGTGTAGCACAGAGCCAGAACGCGACCAGAAAAAAAAGGAAGAAGCAAAACCCACCTTTACCACAAGCAGACCGCTGCTCCCTGTTTCCTTCAGACTTTCCTCTCGTCGTTCGGAGACTTCTTTCTTTCACCTCCACGTTTTTCCCCGGACGAATCTTCTTTACGTCCAGTCAGAGGGGGTTTTGGAAGTGTTTTGCTAAAGACGGCGGAAAGCGGTGGACTGGGTAGTGAGGGGGAGAGCCGTTAACGTGGAGAATCCTGCCCTCTTCAACAAACTAACCTTCCCGCCCCCTCCTTCCTGCACGCGCAGATTGGTGCTGGTTGGCGGCAAAACTGCCCCCTTTCCCTTCAGAGGAGGAGGAGGAGGAGGGTTTAAAACCCCTAAAGTCAAACCGGGGGGACGAAGGCTAGTCGTTTACAAAGTCTTAAAGGTCCCATATCCTTTATTTTTTTCCCCTGAGGTAAAAATAAAAGGTGTAGCCTTTATGAGGGTTCGTTTTTATATGACCTTCCATCCAAACAGGCTGTTTTTGTTATATGTAAATGGCCTGTCTTCTGATTGGCTTTCTAAAACGCAGCCTTGACTTAAACACTCCTTATAACTTCAGTCTGAATGTGTAGGACTAAAGTGTTGTAGGCTGAATAGATGGTTATATGTAAATGTTTTGGCATTTGTTCACAAAAACTCAGACATTTTTGGAGCTTAATTTGCATATATGGACTGTATGGACCTGGACATGAATGACACGATTTGAAACATTAACAGTGCTAACATGTTACATCGAACTATTTTATTTCAAAAAAGTGAGGACAGTTCTGTTTATCGTGATAGGAGTCATTCAACCCTGCTAAAAAACAGCAAAACTAGCATGTTTTGTTTTGATGCTGGTTTGCTGGTCAATCAGTGTGACCATGCTGGGGTGACCAGCTAAACCAAAACCACACCAACACTAGACCAGCATATTCTTGCATAGACCAGCATGAAATGCTTGCTGGTCTGTGCTGTTTTTTTCAGCAGGGAAAACAAACAAATTTGGAAACACTGGCCTCATGCATCAGATATGATACTGTTTCTAAATTGAATTTATGATTTTGTGCATAATTTTAAACCCCATTCCACAGAGCACCTTCAACACAATTTTTCTTCCCCCAATAAAGAAGTGGGCTACTCTTCTGGAGTCTCTTAGCTCATTGCATTGTTTCTTAAATGAATGTATTGCAAAAAATGTAATTTACTTTTTTTTCCCGCTTACCTCAGATGTACTTTATGAGCCAAGACATGATTGGCATCCAAATTTTGCTTATTAAGTTTAGCACTGGAGCTACAAGGCTAACACAGCAAACATTTGAAGTCTATAGACACCCAAAGAGTTTCCATGAATACATCCCAAAACTTCTCTGAACCCATTTAATCCGCATCCAGGGCTTCATTAAGGTTATTGTGGCTTAGGATGCATAATGTTTATTCCCCCATTGGCAGCTCTCTGTACTTTTTAAAATTATTTTAACAGCCTACAATACATGTAATATCTTGAAAATGGGACTATATAGTAGATAGTTGTACTTTTAAAAATGATTAAAGTCTACAGTTGAGCGTATGAAGTATTACCTCATATTGTGGAATGTAATATTAAAAAAACAAAACAAAAACAACAACAGCAACAAGTAGAGGGTGCAACCAAAGGGAATAAAACATGATAAAAGTGCTCAATGGAGTGGGGCTAAAATTCATGCATTAATAAGGCCTTTTTGATCTTTTGTCCATAGCCATGTTATAACGAAGGCCACGGCTACCATGGCGAATCATTTCCAGGCGAATCTTTTATATATCTTGTCAGGAGGGGTTTGGGAAATTTTTTGTGCATGATGTGGTAAACCAGGGGTTACGAATCCCAGTCCTGGGGACCCACACTCTGCACATTGCTTTCCTTCATCTAGCACAGGACTGACTTGGAGAACCCTTGTGAGAGAATGTATTGAGCATACTGCATTTGCGCCAACCCCTAGCATCTTGTGTCAGTCTTTTGGAAGACTCCATTGTAGAATAGGCTAGGCTATAAGCAGCTAGCCATTAGTATTAGTGAGAAATTACCTCGGAGATGTTGCCTAACTGCAAAATGAACATTTGTTATGACATCTGGTGTTGCTTACTCTGGAAAGACAGGGGGAAAAAAAGCCTGAGTACTACTGTACCATGCTAGCTTGAAGGATATATCGCTCCCAGGCTTTCCTGATATAGTGGGGGCTTCTCCTTTGACCCACATTTCTACACTGTGCTCCTGGTCAACTCATGGTTGCGCAGTAGTTACACAGTAGATGGAGCTGGACAGGTTTGAATCGTCCGGCAGAAAGAAAGCCATCTGCTTCACAGAGGCTGAAGAACTGCATGCCCTTGGCTCGTCCGCAGTATGCTGATAGGGCGAGAGAGCTATGAATGGTGACGGGTGAATATGTGTGCTATATGTTCATGGCGTATTACCTCTATCTGTCAGTTCATGGGGGCTCATTTATCTGCAAAGACGCCATTAGCTCGCCAGATTGCCTTCATGGGAAGCTCATATGCCGTGGCATTTGCCTGCACACTGTTTGTGCAACAGATGATAAGGAAATGTCCTTAGCAGACATGAAGAACCATCCTTCACTTTTGCTCCCATCACAAAGTGCATAGGTGCCCATAGCCTGTCAGCTATTGAATAATAGAACAGGTGCTCACAGAGGAAGAAGGCAGGTGTAAGGATAGAAGCGGCTACTCTTACAGTGCCTTTTGGCCCATTTCACTGGTTCTTAAAGGAATAGTTTGGCAAAAAAATCAAACTTACACTGTTTTCTGCTAATCCTAGATGTAGTTGATCAGCCAAGACATGATTGGCGTCCAGGATTTGCCTCCTTGCTTTAGTACTAGAGCTATAAGGCTAATGTTGCTAACAAACAGTAGAAGTCAATAGTCACCCAAATTGTTTCTGCAAAAGCATGTCAAAAACTTCTCTCAGCCCACTCAAACTGCATCCAGGTCTTTATTAATATTGTGCAGAGTTGTCAATGTGGATTACTGCACAGTATGACTTACTGTAAACTATAATAAATGAATAGAACTTTACCATGTAGCTGAAAACAGCAGATAGAAGAACTGACTACACATGCTTATAAAAACAAGCAGTAATACCGTATGTCATACCATGTCATAAACTACATCAACGATTAATGAAGAGCTGGTTGTGTTTTGGGCGAGTTGATGGATGACTATTGATGTCTACTGTTTGCTAGCAACATTAGCCTCTAGCTCCAGTGCTAAACTAAAGAAGCAAAGTTTGGACACCAAATATGTCATTGCTGATTTCTTTAAAGTAAATGTCTGAAGTAGAACTTTCTGAAGGACATCATGAATCTTGTTTTAATTACAATGATTTTGTGTTTCTGCTGTCGATTGGTGGTTCTTAATGAAAATAGCTGGGCTTGCATGTATACTCACAATCAGACTTTTGACTACAGCCTCAGAGAGATCGTTTTTGATTTCCCAAGCAGGGCCCCCCACGATGCAGGAAGAAAACGGAGTGATTGGGGACAGGGGGACGTCATGAGGGGATCAAAACGATCCTGGCAGTGAGTTAGTGAGTTTAAACGTGATATAGCAAAGCCAGTGTTCAACACACCAGACTACCCAACAGAATGGGCTTCGGAAAGCTAGAAACTAACAGAGAAATTAAACAATTCAGTGGCTGCTTGGCTGAAGATGAGACCAGTTCTGCCAAGCTGGTCATACTATACACTCTGTTGGACTGCAAATGTTGAATAATGAGAAGAAGTTGGTGAAAAAGAATCAGCTCTGAATTGCTATGTGGCCTGAATTGTAATTGAGGTTGCGAGTTGAGCAGGCAGCCTGGTTGATTTCAGAAGGTGACAACATTACTGCCTACAGTACAAGCCAAATTGACTTCCAGATGCCAAACAAATGCTTTTCTTAAAGATATGTCACACTTAATTGAGACTGTATCTTATGAGAACATATAACCAGTAATATAAAAGGAAAGTAACATATTATTTAATGTTGTCTGATACATAAGGGCTCTTATATTAGAAATGACAGTAGTCAAAGCTGAAATTGTTTTCTGCTTAGTTCCCTGGAAGAGAACCTTTCATTGGAAGCTATAATCAGTAGGAATAAATCTACGTGTTCATTAGCCAAAGGTTAGGGGATGCAAAGCATGAAGAAATCAGTGTAATTGTTCAGAACGAGAGTGATTTGTCATTGTGGTTGAACATGAAGAATGGGCTCATCCTGTGCCCGGTCCTACCTGGAACGAAATTTTCATCTAGGCATCTGTTGTTTTGCCTGCTAGAGAAGCCGTCAAGCTTGGTGGAAAAATTCTGTCACTGCAAATGTTTCACATCTCCTTAACAGACCTTATGTATTTGCCTGCCAGAGTCTGTCTATTAATCTCAGCTTCACAGAAGAAGAAAAAGAGAGGCACGGACTTCCAATATCAGAGCGCCTCTGGCAGACGACAGGCATCACAGTTAGGCTCCTCTGTCAGACTTTTCTGGGTCTCCAATGAGGTGGTGATGATGTGGTGACAAGGACACGGCCCTTTTTTGGCACTCAACTGGTCTGGCACTCTCCCAGTTTAAACAAAACAACATGACTTTGCTAGCCAGCTCTGGTTCCTCCTCAGCACTTTGCCAGAAACAGAATCAGTGAATATACTATGACGCCATTGTCACATTCTTAGTCTTCAATCTTCAGAGAGATGGACAACTGTGATCATGGGGCAGGGGGGCTTTGTCTGTCTTCTACTTTCTCAGTTCAGTCCCTTTTCCAAAGGGATAAAAAACATTGTTTATCTGGCTTTTGCTGTAACCACAGCCAAAGACAATCTGTGTTAGCTGCCAAAAGCGGCAGACACACTTTTCTTTCAGCAGAACAGGCGGTCGGATGTGATAATATATTGTTCAGTGGGTAGCGGTGATGGCAGAGGGGCACATTTTGAGGATGACTGGACGGCTTGCTGAAGGGAGCAGGCCGACCATAATCTGCCAAGCACACGCTGCCCAGAGGTCAGCCTAGAGTCCTGTCGTGTGTTTTCTCCCTTGGCTTGAGTCCGGGCCTCGCACCTTGAGGCACACAAGATCTGTGCTGACCACGTGGCTCTCGGCAGCAGAGAGAATGCCATCTCTGCTCCCGATGGGGACGGACAGGTTGAATC